TTAAGGGGTAGGGGGCTTAAGAAATGTGACATCACATGAAAAGAGGATTATTAGGCCTATTGTAAAAATTACTCTTAAAAACCCTAAATTACAGACATTATTAACGTTATTTTTTTCTACAACAATTAAGATTATTTTATTTTAAAACTACGATCACTGAGAGAATCACTACAGGTATGCTAGGCCTGAAAAATGGCCTCTGATCAAGTTACAGGCTGCCACAGAGGAGGAGAAAATGGGTTTAGTGACTTTGACAGTCGAGAGAATTTACGTCAAAATGTGGAGACGGGAGTCATAGAATTAGGACTACCCCATGAAGTGGGATGGAACGAAAAAAAATAGTTGACCCAGTTTGGGGAGGGGGGGTAGGGGAGTGTGATCTTAGTAAATGCTCTAGGGCAGAGAAAACGCACTTTTGCATTTGCCGCCCCAACAATTTGGAACGCACTTCCAGTCGCTCTCAGAAACAGCCAGTCACTGGAGTCCTTTAAAACCGATTTAAAAACACATCTATTTCGCGAACACCTTCTGGGGTGATGCTATCTACCATCTTTTTCAGTTCATGTATATTGGCTTGTGTTGCTTATGGTTGAAACGGGATGAAATACTTTGACTTGGTATGCTCGTATGTAGTTTTATATTGTTGCGTCTGTTTTTAAATGTGGTAAATTTTATATTGTTTTTATTTATCTTTTTAATATGGTTGACTTTGTACCGCGCTTCGAGCTTTTGGGGATGAAGCGTGTTTTTCAAATGAACTTTATTATTATTATTCTTAACCTTTTTGCAGGGCTACAGGCCCAGACCATTTAAAACACCACTTCCCCCCCCCCCAAACCAAAAAAAAAAAAGAAAAAGAAAACAACAAACAACACACACACACAAAACATTATAATAAAATTTTTTGGGGATGAAGCGTGTTTTTCAAATGAACTTTATTATTATTATTCTTAACCTTTTTGCCGGGCCACAGGCCCAGACCATTTAAAACACCACTTCCCCCCCCCCCAAACCAAAAAAAAAAAAAGAAAAAGAAAACAACAAACAACACACACACACAAAACATTATAATAAAATTTGAATATGAAAATAATAAAATAATTTAGTTATATTAGTTTTTTTTCATAAATTAACTTTTTATAAACAAGGAAACAAGATTACCTATACAAGTAATGCGCAAACAATATTCAACAGAAAAAAAATTTACTGCTGCTAATCAAAATCCATAAACAATGTTTAAAAAAAAAAATTGCAATGGCAGCAAATATAATCTTCTGCACCCCATGGCTGGGGAGTTACTTTTACCCCTGGTTAAGAACCACTTGTGGTGTAATTTGATATCCACGGGAGGTAAGTTTCTTAAGGGTTTGCAAAGGGCAGTAGTGGACACAGGGACTTTTTATTGGGGGGAGGGGGGGTTGCAGAGATTTACGACGTTATATCTGAGGGGGGGGGGTCTAACTTTTTGTGACGCTGTGTGACGATGCGGAAAGGGGGAGGGGGATTCGGCGAAATTTGCGTGACATCATTTATGAATGGCCCCTCTGTCGTTTTTATTGGAGTTATGGGTTTTCTGCCTGCCCTTACCAGAGAGGTTACCTATCAGTCGCCAAACTTTTCACCGGTCTGTGAGGTTGAGTTTTTCCACACGTACCAGCCCACTTGGCCTTTTTTTTTTTTTTTTTTTTTGGACCGTTTCATGGACTTGAGTCTTTAGTTTGTCGTACGGCGCACAAGAAGCAGACGTCTTCCATTTGGCGGCTCCCCCCCCCCTAGTCTTTTGCTCTGTATTTTACAAGTTCTCTTAGACTCTTATTGCAATAAGATCTATTTTTTTCCTTCCTTGCTCTCCTTGCTATCTAAACCTCTCGATAACGATATCGATGCCACCGAATTCAGCATCTTCCGAAACAAGCTTGGTCTTGGTTTCGGTCTCGTACTTTTGCCCATTTGCTCTACGGAGCAGCCAGTCTCGTTTTTCAAAGTTTGCTTTGGCAGTGCCTAGCTCAACCTCTAACTGGATTGGGAGATGGTCACTTTTGATCTCACATTTGCAGTGGTGTAGCGAGTAACATGTGACATGGAACAGCTTGCCACAGAGCAACGTCTCCTAACATAGGGCTACGTCCGCTTCCCTTTTCTGGGATGGTTTGGTTACTTCGTGTACCTTCTGTCTTAAAGAACGCGCACTCAGCTGTAAGACCCCACAGGGTTGGAGCATGATAATCCTTTGCACCATGAGTTCATTCAAGGTCAGTCGCTTGCTCGCATCAGCGCAGGTTGTCGTTCTTTCACGGTGCAAGAGAGGGCCACCCCCTTAAGCCAGCAGTGTCGAGGGAAGGATGTCGCTGTACGCCACCATGTGCATAAAGGGTGCTTGGGGGGGGGGGGTACCTAAGGCTTCACAGTCATTAGTTTTCTTTTATTATTTTTTTTGTTGTTTCCAACCTTATATGGAAGAATAGGAAATGAATAAAACAAAGTAAGGTCAAACCTTCGTCGGTGAACAAACAACAGAGAAAAGCAGAATATATTTTTTTTTTTAAATTTCAAAATAGCACTTAGCTGAGAAGTAGTGTTCAAGAGTTTGTTCACTGACGAAGGCTTCCTGCCGACACGTTCATTGTTTTGTTGCGTTCATTTTTTTTTCTTCACGTTTGACCTCACTTTGACTGTTCAATTCCGCCCACTTTCCTGCAAAGACCATTAGGTGCTATTCGTGAACTGTTGTTCGCTGACGAGACCGCCTTAACATTTTACACAGAATAAGAAGGTCTACAGCAGTTAGTCAATCGGTTTCTTCTCACATGTAAGTAGTTTGGAATGACCATCAGCCTACTGAAAACACATGTCATGATGCAATAAGCACAGTCCCCTCCAAAAAATACCATTGATGGTCATAATCTATCGATATCTGAGAATACCTTGGCTCCAATATCTGTAGTTCCCTATCTGTTGGCGAAGAGATGAACACCATCGCAAAACCAACAGCCACTATGGCTAAACTGAATAAGCGGGTGTGGAAAAATCTTAAACTAACCGAAAATACAAAATCTAAGCTTCTATCAGGAATTTGTGCTTAGCATGCTCCTATATGACAGTGAAGTGTGAACCACATATGTGAGTCATGAGCGGAAACTCAAAAGTTTCCAGCCAAGATTTCTGCGTCGCATTTTGCACAGCCGATGGTAGATCAAAGTGTCTAAGACAGAGATTTTGGAATGTGCCAAAATGTGTAGCTTTTTCCCCGCTATTTGCAAGAGGCGCCTTCGCTGGCTAGGGCCATGTAAAGAGAATGGAGGAAAGCCGTATTCCAAAGGATCTGCTGTAAGGAGAGTTGGTATGCAGAAAGGGGGTTGCGATTTAAAGACGTTTGCAAGAGGAGCATGAGAGAAGGCAACATAGAAATCAACGAATGGGAGATCATCGCTGAGCACCGCTCCAGCTTGAGAACAACTAGTGTATAAAGGAGTCAAACAGACAAAAGATGCGCAAAACGAAGCCCTTGCAACAAGAAGGACACCACGGAAGGCCAAATTTAAACTGGAGTCGAGATTCTCCTGCGATAATTTTAGCCGGGACTGCCCTTCCAGGATCGGCCTCGGAAGCCATTGGACAAACTGTCCAAAGCTACTCCATCATCTTGCTAAGACGGAAGTAGGCTTTATAATTTTCCTAGGAATTTCCCCGGTATCGGTTAATATATCCCTTAAAAATTTTCTTCAAACTTATTCCATAAGTTCGATTTTTTATATATGGACTTTAAGATCAGATCAATATCATTTGTCATGTTTTTTATGTCTCTCTGGTGTTGACGATTGTCCTCAAATGTTATGAAATCAGGTTATTAGATAATTTTTAAAGTTTCTAGAAGGTTCAAAATTATTGTAGAAGTTATGTATTTCATAACCGCAAAGGCTATACAAGAACAGACCCGCACCTAGGAAATTCTGGGTCTCAGGCAGCTGACAATGTTGGGACCCCTTTCGTATTTCAAACATGTGCGTATATTTTAAGAGGTTTGGGTCTCTATCTACCTCAGGCCATGACAAGTGCCATGGTTGTCCGTCCCTCCCCCCCCCTGCCCTCTAGGCGCGGGCCTGAAAAAAAGCTTAGTTTGCACTTTTTAATTAAATTATTTAAATGTTGCACATTTACTATAAAGTTCTTAAATACCAGAAACGAAAAAATAAGTTATGTCTCAATGGCATTACTGACATTCTATAATTTCACGGTGGTGTTACCACGTCAAACCTGGGGCTCCGAATAAAAGCCTGAAGAGAAAAGTAATCACCTGCGAGATGAGATGTTTGAGGCAAGCTGCTGGCAAAACAAGAAGGGACGACGTTCAGAAACAGGCAATAAGCCTAATTGGTTGGTGCCATCCCAATCAGCCACTATATGGCCCAACAACATATTAATAGGTTTGGACTCCTGGTCAGAGGGCTTGTCAACCAATCTGCACTGCAAGCGTATAATGGCAGGCTTTTATGGAAGTTCAAAGTTGACAAGAATGATTATATGCTGGCCTTTTATAAGAGAAAATTTTGTTTTTAAAGGGTACTTGCGCGAAGTCTTTTTGACGTTACCTTTTCCTTTATATTTTCGATTATACAAACCCGAGCGATGCCAGCTAAATTGGCTAGTCTGTTAATAAAATTGAAATTTGGTTCGGTAATAAGATTTCAAAGCAACAATACATTGAATACATACTACAATAACAATACATAAGATTTCAATTAAATTGAAATTAATCAAACATTAACCTAAAGTTTTGAAATAATCTATTCGTTAATTTTTCAAAGGAAGTGGAGGTTGAAGTAATATCTCGGGGAGTGGGGTCCAACTTTTTATGATGATTTGTGACGACGGGGGGAGGGGAATAAACAATTTTGAGACGTCATTAATGGATGGCTCCGCAAAGGTTTAAGACATGGAATTAGTCAACGAAATTGGTACTAAAGACGTTTCTTTTCTTGAGCAAAGTAAACTTATTACAATGCAAAGATTTTAATTCGGGGATTTTCATCAGATATCATATTTAAAAAATCCTTTCATTCCGTGTTTCGTAAATATTGATTACACCACTGCAACATCTAATTTTCTTCTTCTCCTTAAACCTTTTTTACCCCGTCTGAGGAATAGGCCGTCCACAACATTTTTTCACTCATCACGGTCCTGTGCTTTCCTTTCCAACTGCTTCTAGGTGAATCCAATATTTTGCATGTCTGCATCTAGCTCGCGTCTCCATGTATTCTTTGGCCTTCCTCTCTTTCTTTTAAGCTGTGAATTCCATTTTAGCCGGGGTCCTGGACGCTGTTCTTCGTGAGCGGCCGTTCAAGAGCGTCCTGCTCAGTAACGCTTCAGCAGATATTAATGTCGGTGATACTATCTCCGAAAACGCACAGACCTAGTTTTAGTGTTTTGATTTTTGTTCCCCAAACATCAGATATGAAGTAAAAATTATGTCTGGTTTATTTTGTAAACTTAACATCTCTAAAATGTTGTGCCGGTAAAAAAAAAAAATGTATATAAAAAATGCACGATATTTATTGAGCAAGGGTATAATAAAATAAAAAATCGTATAGCAATCTTCGCTTGTTTTCTATATTTTTGTCTTAAATGCATGTTGTATTGCGTCGTAATCACGTGTGTACCAAACTTAATTGTTTGGAATACATGTTTATTTGTGTCATGATTCCCGTGCCATGCCCCAACTACGCATCACCCTCGCTACGACCACGTTACAACCGTGCCACACCGACGCCACAATCATGCCATACATACAACTTGTACGTAATAGTGTAGATATCATTTAAAAATAACACTTACTTACTTACTGATGCCCTTTTACCCCGTCTGGGGCATACGCCATACACAAAAATTTTCCACCCATCACGGTCCTGTGCTTTCCATTCCAATGGCGTCCAGGTGCATCCCATATTTAGCGTGTCTGCCTCTAGCATGCGTCTCCATGTATTCTTAGGCCTTCTTCTCTTTCTTTTTCCCGGCGAATTCCATGTTAGGCATCGTCTGGTGATGCTATATGGGGTTTTTCGGAGAGTACGCCCTATCCACCTCCGTCTTTTCTTTATGATATCTTCATCAATGGGCACTTGGTATGTCCTTTCTAATAGATCTTTTTGCTTGGTTGGTGATGATATTTGGCCATTTGATGATCAGGATCTTTCTAAGGCATGTGTTTATGAAGGTCTGCACTTTCTGCGTAACAATAACAGCTGCTAAATAAAGCGTTTATATATACAATAGTTTTATTGCAGTTGCTTCAGTCTCAGACTGTCTTACTTACCACCCCCCCCCCACACACACACCCCGTACCCAACCGGCCATTCGCCATATTCGAATCGTCTTTTCCTATTGTAATCATTATATCATTATAATTAAAATTATTATTATGACACTATTATTCTGTAAGGGAAAGCACAATTACACGCCTTGTAAGCACAATACACGCCTTGATGGCACAATTACACACCATGTAGGCAAAACTACACGCCTTGTTGGCACAATTACACGCCTTGTAAGCACAATACACGCCTTGATGGCACAATTACACACCATGTAGGCAAAACTACACGCCTTGTTGGCACAACTACACGCCTTGTTAGCACAATACACGCCATGTAGGCACAACTACACGCCTTGATGGCACACTTACACGCCATGTAACCATAACTACACGCCTCGATGGCACAACTACACGCCTTGTTGACACAATTACACGCATTGTAGGCACAATACACGCCATGAAGGCACAACTACACGCCTTGTTGACACAATTACACGCACTGTAGGCACAATACACGCCATGAAGGCACAACTACACGCAATGTTGGCATAACTACACGCCTTGTGATATGCTACGGTTATTCCCTGCAAAGAAAATAAACAACAACCGAAACATGTGTTGCTTTTTTAATAGATAATAAACACCAGCGAATTCTCAAGATGTTTGTTAAATTAAAGAGGAGCTCGTTTACATAACGGGAGATCCGTCGCAGTTATTCGGCTTCTCAAAACATTGACCCTGCAATGCATCGATGGTCCAGTCCAGTGCCTGTCACATAACTCAGCACTAGGTTGTTGCTACGAAAACACAAAGTACCAAGAGAGAACCAATAAACATTCCGAGGTGTCACCGAGCTGTTAACCTCGAAGACGTCCAGTCATTGTGCGATCTAACAAGAAAGCGATGAAGATACTTATCTATGAGACATCTCCCCCCATAGGAGCCAGAAATAAAGTAGCTGAAGCTATCTGAAAACATTGATGACGAGAATCAAACAATCAGCATTATTTTTTATATTTTTTGGGGGGGGGGGGGGGGGGGGGAGAGATTATTTGTTTTCTATCGATCGACGATCGTAAGTTTGTTTATCTGACTTTGCTGCACAAAAAAAATATGTTTCTCAACTAGGGCGTCATCTATTGTAGACATCGCGAGGAGTAGGCGATGTGTGAAAGGTTCGAATGGCCAGGAATGTCGCAGTAAACTTAAGAGTTACCGCAACATTTGGTGTCCAGATCAAAGAGCTGGGTTTGTATATAAATAGTGAACTGTCCACAGTACCGATAGCGAGTCCTGTCAAAGAGAAGGCACTTCGTTCTGATTAGGATCCAAGAAAGTAAGATCTCTCTACATTAATTGTGATTGTATTGCGTTGATATTTAATTTATAATGACTAAATTCATTTGATTTTTAAAAGACCGTACATCTAATATCGAAGAGTGATTTTTGGGTTTAATTAATTTGTATCAGAAAATTTATATTAATCAAAGAAAACTAGAAGGAAACAATGAGTTTTCTCAAATAACAACTTCTAGTTAAAGTTATAATGGGATAAAATTTGAATGATGTAGGGCAATTTGTTAACAAATTAAAAAAAAACCCTGCTCGATAGTTCAGTAGTTGATCTTTGTTTGTGTTGATTTGTTATTGATTTCTCCTTCACAGACCCGTCGCTAAAATGATGAAAGTATTCCTTGTACTGGGTAAGTTTTGCAACATAGTTGGCACATAAATACATACTCATATGAACCTATGATCTGTCGGGTTTTTTTTTCTGTCTGGCCATCTATCGCTGTCTGTCTGGCTATCTATTTCTGCCTGTCTGTTTCTGTCTGCATGGCTGACAGTGTGTATGCCAGTCTATCTATTAGCCTGTTTGCCTGCCTGCTGGTCTGTCTAAGAGTCTGCGTGTTTCTCCCTTTATCAGTCTATTTGTCAGCCTGACGGTATGTCACTCTTTTTGCACGTCTGTCTATTTCTGCCTGTCTACCTGTCGCTCTCTGTCTGCATTCCTGACAGTCGTTCTGAATGTTTAAAAACGTTCGCCTATTTTTCTGTCTCCCTTTATCTTTCTAAATTTCTTTTTGCCTCTCCGCCTACCTTTCTGACTGCCTTTCTGTCTACCTTTCTGCTTGACTTCTATGCCTGCCTGCCTCTCTGTCTACCTTTCTGCTTGACTTTCCTGCCTGCCTGACTTTCTGTCTACCTCTCTGCATGTCTTCCAGTCTGTAAGAGCGACCGCCCAATTAACTTCCTATCTCTATCCATCCATATGTCAATCTGACTGCCACATTATACATTTATAGGTTTGCCTATGTCATGTGGCAAATACATTTCAGCTAAAATTACATTTCTCTATCACATCTAATGTCACACAAACCGTGGCCTAATATAAAGCCAGGTTGCTTGTCTACTAACTTCATTCACATGTACACTGTAAGAGATATGTTTTGCTAGAATTAAAAAAAAAAACCGGATTCTGATCCACATGTTACTTACTGCCTTGCCTGAACTCATCTTTAACTTTATGCCCCCCGTCTCTCCAAGTCTCTCAATCACACACAGACATGAACAGGAATATGTTCTATGACAATGTTGTTGTTTTTTTTACCGTTGTTCCTCTCCTTATTCTCTTCAGTTGTTTGCATTCACGGGATTGTCGAGGCCGGATCCCTTCTCGACACCCCTGGGGTGACGCCTGTTGAAGCGCTGATCGCACCCATTCAAAAACTCCGAGGCGTTGACGCCGTTGCCAAGGCCTTGGGACTAAAGAAACCATTTTCTCTAGAGGTACTCCAATCTGAAGATGTGCCCCATTCCTTGATATGAATTTATGATGTTTCCCGTTTTGTTTACATCAAAGTTTGTCTGCCCTGCAATCAAAGAAGCAATTTAAATAAGTGTGGGAAAAGGGGGTGAGGGGTGGGTGGAAACATAAAAAAAAAAAAGGAAAAGAATCAATTAATATGAAGTTCTTTATCTATTTATTTTCTAATAATTTATACTACAAGGTTTAAAACGATGAATAGATTTTTTGTTGTTTTTAAGCAGGAGTCAGGTTTTAAGTTCCTTTCTCTGCCGTAAAGAAGACTGACACGTGGGTTTAACAAACGTCTTCCATGTTTTGATGACGATCTCAAACTTCTGGAGAAAACAACATTTCTTCCATAGTCTTTGAAAAACAAAGAAATTTTTTTCCAGGCAAACGGTTTTTTTTTTACATATAAAAATATATTTTGGAATTCTGAAAGTCAGAGAATGATTTTCATGTTATAATATATATATATATATATATATATATATATTTGCCTATAGGGTGATCTTTCACTGAAATAACACTATCTACTTTCAATCTTTTAGGATGTTTTATCTGAAGACCTGCCCGGGGCCGTGACCAGACATCGCCTGGCACTGTTATACAACGACCTTCGAGTCCTGGTGTTCACCATTCAGGCCACCTCCGACGCCGACGGCTACTTCACCGGGTCTGCCTCCGGCTACATTCCTACCATTAGTAACCTGGACACGTCTGTCAAAGTAAGATGCATTTTGAAAACTCGACAGTCTGCGTTTTTCGAACACCATTTTGAAGTTTTAACTCATTTCATTTTGCCATTTTTTAATATTTTCATGAACAGTTGAGGGGCCATGCACATACCATACCGCACAAAAATCTGTCATTAGTGACCAACCCCTTTCCTTTATAATGTCATATAACATTTCCATTGACCCCCCCCCCCTAAAATGCCTAAACATAAATAAATAAGAAAACAAGCTGAAACAATCAAATTTCAGGCAAAAAGCCATAAATTATTTTTAAAAAAATTAATTAAAATGTGATATTTATTTTTAACAAAATTTCATTTCAGTTTAAATTGATCTGGGCTAATTTTATAAATTTGAAATTTTTGCAAAAATAACACACACACACACACAAAAATATAAAAATAAATAGAAATAATTGTGATGTCAACGTTGCTCGCTACCAGCACCACCCCCACCACCACCATCCCATATCAACACAGTATAGCGACAAGATTAACCAACCCCACCCCCTTCGCATTATATCATTTGTGAACGGCCCTGAAGTAAAAGAGCCCCATTGTTGGAAACCGTATCAAATCATTCTAATTTGCTAGTACATTACTATATTTTATAATACCTTTCACGCCATCTGATTTGCAGGTAAGCGTGAAAGACTTGAAACAGGCCACGGCCGACTATGTCAACAGCAAAAATATCCGTCAAGACATAGGCAACATTGCGGCCAAAGACGTCAGTCGATTTACCGCAACCAAAGCGATCCACGTCGATAAGCTGACCGGAGTTCCCAGGGTCGTGTACTTTTGCGAAGGCGTCGTCGACACGATCCGTAAGTAGGGTTTCTAGATTCCATAAATTTTTTTTTTTTAAAGCGTTTTCATTCGGTGGGTTCTCTTCTATGATTGTGTGCGTTGTGAAAGTGGTGGGTGTGTTATTTGGTTGGGGGGGGGGGGGGCGTTTTAGTTGTAGTTAGGCTTTGTGAACTGTACATATTTTGTTCACGTGTGGCTACGATAATAAATATCCTTTTTTTTTTTTTCAGCATCATACAACCGCTGGCCAAGAGTTCTGTTTGATGCCTTAACTTTGCGTGTGATTATTGGCAGTGTCCAAGTCAGATATGCCGTAAGTCATACGTCACAACAAACTGTTATTTGATATAATTTACATTGTTCGCACTTGAAACATTAATAGAGTTTTTTTTTAAATTGTTTTTTGTTTTGTTTGTTTGTTGTTGTTTTTTGTTAGATCGTAATAAATTTCCAATAAAAGCGCCACCAAAAGAAGGAAGACATACTTGTGTTGGTGCGAAAGAGTTGACAAAATCTTAAATGACAGGTTTAGTTTAACAGGATTAAAACAATTCGAGTTTTTAAATTTATGATTTCCAGTCACACCTTTCCTTTTTTTACATTTTTGTTAAACGCTTTAAACTGTTCAAGTCTCATAATTGTTACATTATCCAATCTTCATCTCAGTTCGCTCTCTCCCACTGTTTGTACATTTCTTTTCCAGGATAATGATGATACTCTGGATGTTTTGGGTTCGATTCTCGGCAAGGGAACTGACAAAAGCTGCCCAAGCATCCAGGGAGGTAACCAGAAATATCCATTTCCTGTCTACGGCCCAGGCAGAAATCAGGTAAACACAGTATGCGCAGTAAAATGTTTAGTTGCCACTTCTTATTTAAGTTTGGCAGCCACATAAGAACACACAAAAAAAAAAGTTGCGATAGCTAAATTACACATATAGTTTAAATTTTTTATTTTTAAAGTGGATACTTTTGAAGCGACAAAGCTCTATAATGCTTGTATTAAACCACGAAGTAGTGAGTTGCTGTTAGTGGTGATCAGATAAGGATAAGGAATGATAGCGGGTAGAGTTGAGATAAGCTTAGTGGAGCACTGTCAGTGGTGACCGGGTGAGGAATGATAAGGGGGAGAGTTGAGATAAGATAAACGGAGCATAACTCCTAACTTCAGGGGGCGAACCTATGCGGGGGGGGGGCGGTGGGGGGGGGGGGGGGTGGGGGGTGCGGAGTGGGTGACCACCCCTGGCAGAGTGAGTTGAGTTTTTATGTACCATTAAGTCAATTATGCGAGGGGGTGTGTATTAAAAGCGCTGCACCTTTTTTGGGGGGCCTTTTGTCCCTGGTTGTACTAAGCCAAGGCACGACGCTGCCTAACTTTGTTCGTGTTTCTCCTCTTTCTTCTTTTCAATAAAGGTCTGTCTCAATGCCGAAGTGAAAGGCAAAAAATGTTCGCTGGCCAACAAGAGGGTAACCATCAAATCACTGGAGAACGGCATGGACGTATCAAAGGCAAAGGTGCGGCTGTGTTGACAAACCCGTGTTTAAAAACGACTGTGGTGGTGCTGTGTTTTTTTGGTTTTTGTTGTTGTTTTGTTTTAAGACGCTTTCGTTTTGTTGGCGTATCTTAAGGCTGTTGTATACATTTTTGAACCAGTGTTTATCATTTTTGTTTTGCTCTGTTATAAAATACAACCATTCTCAAGTTTAAAAGACGAACGTCTCATGTGACGGTGCAGGTTAAATCTTTATCTCGGAAAGATTGAACACATTACAATTAAAAAGAGAATAAGACTAAATGTCAAAAGAGAAATCTATTCACAGATAATGCTTTAATAGAAAAATCCCCTCAATTTAAAAAAAAAAATCCTTTATAAGAACTTCGCTTTTTTTTTTCATGGCTGGGTTTGTGGCAAAAACCTTCGTACGCTTACTGACCCACTTGCTGCCAACCTATCGAGCTGAGACTTGGCACATAGACGTATTGCCGATGACAACATATTCTATCAAATTTTTACCTCCCCCCCCCCCCCCATTTCTTGATATTTAATTTTATTAAAGGATTTAAAATGCGTTTTTAAGGGTAGTTTTATTTTGTGTTATAAACAATAGACCCGCCTTCCACGCAGGTTGTGTCCTTCAAATGTGAAGACGGCTTAAGCGATGGGATCAACGGGGCGTCTTCACCTGCGTCGGACGCGTACTATTACGGTCAGAAGTTCTATGACTTTTTGGAGGTATGTGCCAATAACGAGAAGATGCGCTAGTATTTTTCTTAGAACAGTTCGTCCATTGAGAACAAGAATTTATCAATAATAGAAAAAAAAATTCAGCGCCGTGTTTTGTAATTTTCTAACTTCCTAACTTCCTAGGATAGTTAAATAAAATATACACTATAAAACACTCAAAATTGCAGCTTTGCTAATTAAAAAAAAAAAAAAAACTTTGTAGGTGGCAAATTATACGTTTAGTGCCCTCTAGATAACATGTACGACAAATTTGGGTTCGGGCCTGTTTCTTATGTGATTAAGATGAAGTAAAAAATATATATATATATTTATATTTTCGTTGCTGTGTATTTAAAGAATACTGTCTCTGGGGCTAGCATGCGAAATATAGAATTGAAAATATTTAACGTAGATACGTCTATATATACGAAGTTGGAGGCAATGTACTCGAGCCAGTCTGAGTGTTCATTTGTTACCGAAAAAGCTGATCGGCTGATTATTCGTTAAACTGTTGATCACAGAGGAATCCATGTCTATCGGACTAGGAATTTTATTTTATACTTAAATACATCAAGAATCATTGTTATTTAGACTGTGTATTATTATAGCATCACTTGGCCCCACACGAGAAATACTCCCAATACTTACATAAAAACAAGCCAGCCAAAATTCACAGAAATACACAAAATATATTATTTTTTTTTTTAAAATGAAGGAAATCCATTTATTCTTCAGTCAACACTCTAATCAATTTATTCTCAGGCAGCTTTATTTAAATCATTTTTTAACCTTTAATGTAAATCACAAACTACGTTAATACTCATGCGTGACTGTGTTCTAGTGAAATCGATATTGTTTTATTTAATATATATATATATATCTATATCTATCATTCTGTTGATTTCTCCAGGAGTGGGGTAACGTCGATACCAAAGACTATGATCCCATCGATATCTTTGTCCACTATGGCAACAACTTTGACAACTCGTTCTTCGATGGAGCGAGCATCTACCTCGGCGACGGGTCTAGTCTGCTCTTCCCCCTCGCCTCCCCTGAGATAATTGCACATGAGGTCAGCGAGCGATGAGTAATTTAATGTTAACAATTTATCATTGCGTGATTACTTTCATTTCAGTTGTAGAATTTCCGATGCGAAATAATTAAACATTTAGTCTCTGACGGTGTAATATCAAAATCTCTGTTTAAAAAAAAAATATATAAAGCGTTAAACGCTAAGCTCAATTTTAATCGCACATAAAATGACTGGCAGCTGATGACCAATAAGTTATCGTTAAAAATTGTAAATTCACGATACATTTTTAGCGATGTGCATTAAAGATTATTTTCGATGTCGTTCGCACATTCGTAACGGAAATAACGCTTCCTAGTCATGCTTCAAAGTCAAATGTCCCTGTATGAGTAATTAGTGGAAGGCACGAATTGGGAATAGTAGCACTGAGACCGACTCCACGCGCAAGGGGCGCTGTGACAAAGCCATTATGTCATTGTTACGCCAGTTCTGTTATTACTTAGATTAGGTAACTCTAAAATCATCACTTGACTTAAGCTCCACCAGCCTAAACTCCTGCCCCCCCCATCTCCCAGTTGTGTCACAGAGAGACCGCCAGGTTTGGTAACCTCAAATTTGAAAGTGAATCCCTGGCCATTGACGAGTCCCACTCGGACATTTGTGGGAGAGCTTTTTCAGCATACCTCCAAATTGGTGAGTAAAAAGGGGTTCCGAAGTGTACACTATTTATATAAGAATTCTCAGTTAGAAAGAACTAACCTTTTAAACGTTTTTAAACATTATCTATAATTCCTTATTAGTATTTTTTACTTGTCATGTCTTTCCCGCTCTTTTCTATACTCACAATATCTCGAACTCTTTCTCTCTCTCTTTCTCTGTCTCCCCCCCCCCTCTCTCTCTCTTTCTTCCTCTCTCTCTGCTCATATATGCTCTACTTATAGTCGCTCATTTCTCCCTCACTCTCTCTCTTTCTGCAACAAATCTCCTTCACTCTCCCTATTTCTCGTCTCATAAACTATCTACTCAAAATCGTTCTCTCCTCCCACTCCATTTGTCTCTCTTAGTGTTCAATCAAATTAAAAAAAATCAATTTTATTCGTTTACATCAAACTATTTATTTCGCGTCTTGATTTAACCTTACCAGTTGCGGACGACAACTGGGACTTTGGCGCCAACATCGTGAAGCAGAGCAACCTGGCCCTGCGTTACTTCGATGACCCCACCCGTGACAACTGGAGCATCAAGAACGTCAATGACTTCGACAGGACCACGAACCCGTGAGTTGTTAGTCTGTGGACGATCTGTTAAGACGTTTCTGTCACTCATACAATTTCAGAACCGTTTCACTTGATATCTGTCAGTTGGATCGGTCGAGGATTTGTAGAGAAAGGTCCTGAATAATATAATCGATGTCAGAACGCGTTCATATTTACTTTAACAGGGAGACTATAAAAGTATCAGTTGGTTCAGAGTGGGAGGATGTGGGGAGGCAGGCAAAAGCACTAAAACTACTTTTAAAAGAACCAAACAATTTTTTTTTTTAAACACAGATATTATAACCATGATTATCAATCTCCTCTAATAAACCCCAGTTCATTCCACAGAGATACCGGACAGGAATATGTTCCTTGAATTTCAAAAAGAAAATGTTTTCTTAAGTCGTATGTTGTTTAATGATGACATAATTACCAATGGCCTCCTGGATGTTGACATTCGCTGACATTTGCCTGTCTACAGATTCCAAGCCGTTGGTATATTCAACAGCGTCTACAACTCGCTGGTGGAACAACACAACTTTTCACACAGGGACGCCTTCAGAACATTCCTTCTGGCTAATCGACTCTACTGGCAAGAAGTGAGTGTTTGCCTCCCTTTCTCCCCCCCCCTCTGTCTTCTCTCTCATCTTTCTCTCTTCTCTTCCTTTTTTTCTCTTTATCTTTTAACTCTCTACATGAGCTTTTCCGTAAAACTTAATCTCTCTCATATCCCCATTCTCCCGCTCTTCTCTTAGGATCTTTCTTTGTTCTATATATATATGCCCCTCTTTTCTACTCTCTCTCTCTCTCTCTCTCTCTCTATCTCGCATGATTAAATTATTATTTCTCTCTGACCCATGTCACACAGCCTACACACTTTCCCCACTCCAGTGATATCAATCATTAAATCTACTGCTCAAAGATATGGCCAAGAGTTTGATTACTCATTTATAAACAACGCCCCCCACCCCCCTCCCAAACCGCACACACACACAAAAAAAAGTAAAAAAAAGATGTGCTAAATCTTTATATCTTTCTCAATGCACAAAGGAGACAGACTTCCAAAACGGAGCCTGCGGTGTCAAGAGAGCGGCCAAAGATCTACGTCTTAATGTTGCCGCTGTCGACTCCGCCTTCGGCGCTGTCGGCATCCCACTCACGTCCTGCAGCACGCTCGGCGGTGGACGCTGATCGTTGTCATGGTTACCGAGGTCCCTTGATGAACAGAGCGGCAGGTTTATCAATGTCTGCTGATCGCCTCGCCTCTCAGTTGACATCCCCCCCCCCCTTGCTGAATTAAATTATTTAAACCGCAAATCAAATGCTATTTTAAATGTATTTATGTTCACATATCATCCTAAAACATTTAAACATGATGCGCAATGTAGATATTTATGTACAAATTGTATCATACAAGCAAGCAAATGTATTTCAAATGTATGCATTGTATTTAACTTCCATATATATATAATTTTTTGGTCAAAATAAATGCATTACTTTAACTTTTAAAACTGTTATTCAATGGTTCACTGTGTGCTTGAGCGTGATGGCGCCTTGTGAACAATTTAATATCACAGTTGTAATTCTACATATCACTTCTACATTACATATCACATCTACATTAAATATCACTTCTACATTACATGCCACTTCTACATTGCATAATATCACTTCAATATTAGATATCACTTCTACATCACTTATCATTTCCACATTACATATCACTTCTACAATACATATCACTACTACTTACATATCACTTCTACATTACATATCACTACTACATTACATATCATTTCTACATTACATATCACTACAACATTACATATCACTTCTACATTACATATCACTACTACATTTCATATCATTTCTACATTACATATCACGTCCACATTACAGTCGTGGCCGTTTATCTAACAAGACACATAAATTTAATTCCTTTAAAAACACAATGAATGAAAATATAAATATACGAGTCTCACCAGAGGCGTAATACATATAAGAGATTTTTTTTCTTCACCTTCACACATATGAAATAGACTTTAGAAGAACTCCTGACATACGGAAGTGTATTTTCTAACTAAAATAATAGTTCTTCTTAAAATAAAAATTAAATTCATTCTCACTAAAAAGGACATTCATCCTCACATAAATAAAAAGCAATTCATTAAGAGAATATTTATTCTCACTAAAAGGACATTAATTCTCACTATAATGATAGTTATACCAACAAAAAATTAAATAAAAACCCGAAACAAACTTCAGTGAATCAATTTAAACAAATAATTATAAAAAAGGTTCTGATTATATTTTATAGGAATTCATTCGAAAGCCAATCCATCCATCCATCCATCCATCCATCCATCCATCCATCCATCCATCCATCCTTTCAACCATCCATCCATCCATCCATCCATCCATCCATCCATCCATCCTTTCAACCATCCATCCATCCATCCATCCATCCATCCATCCATCCTTTCAACCATCCATCCATCCATCCATCCATCCATCCATCCATCCATCCATCCATCCATCCATCCATTCCATGAAGAGCTTCGGCCTGTCTCACACCTTCCTTCCACTCAGACTTATCGAAATTCAATTCAAGCACAAAATAATTAAATGGATGAAAAAAATGATCTAAATGCTTAGATTTCAAGTCTTTCAATTGGTCGTTCTAAATAAGTGCCTCTATAATGATAGTTATACCAACAAAACAATAAATAAAAACCCGAAACAAACTTCAGTGAAGTCGGGAGTTGATCAGTTAGAGTTAAAAAAAGAGTATAATATCCGTCTCGACCAATTGTTCGTAATGGTGACGTTCGTATCTACGAGCGTATTGTCCTGTACACACAATCCGTCCGGGGCTACCCATCATAAATATGCGCTTATAGCCTTATAGCGCAACATTTGGCTTAGGCTCAGCATTTAGCGGGAGTATATATTTGAAGTCGGTTGGCCAGTCATTCCTTAGAAGGACTCAAAAACCGAGCAAGTCCCAAGTAAGTAGTTGTTTTTTGTTTTGGTTTTTTGTGTGTTTTTGTGTGTTTTTTTGGTGTTTTTTGGTGGGTTTTGGTGGGGTTTTGGTGGGTTTTTTGGTGGGTTTTGGTGGGTTTTGGTGGGTTTTTGGTGGGTTTTTGGTGGGTTTTTGGTGGGTTTTTGGTGGGTTTTTGGGTGGGTTTTTGGTGGTTTTTGGGTGGGTTTTTGGTGGGTTTTTGGTGGGTTTTTTTGGTGGTTTTTTGTGTGGGTTTTTTGGTGGGTTTTTGGTGGGTTTT